CAATAATAAACTCGACTGGGAAAAAATTGAGAAAACGTTTATTTTCCTCACAGAAAATAATATCTTGAAAGAGATGCATACACTACTGCACTTAAGCTGTTCGAACAAGTCAGTTATATTTCTCAGTATATAGGTGACAAACGAATTGATGAATCCAGCAAAGAGCAGACAAACGTTGGTTTCAATATTTTACTTATCTGTTGAAGCAAAATATTTCATTTGTTGAGCTTTCAGAATTCGTTGAATATGCTCTGACACTACCAGGAACATCAAATCAGTAAAATCAATTTTATTATGAAGAATTTAACAGTTTTTTTGTTTGGAATTTTTCACCCACTTAAAATCGCCCCTCCCCCCCGATTTTCTTCGAAAAATCAGTCAACAAGAGAAATACGTCAGACCGAAGACGTCTTCAACAATTCCGGAAACACCGTCCACTTCATCAACTAATATACAAACTATCGAACCAGACAGTGATAAAATCTTTTAATAATTTTTAATATTACTTTGCTTTCTCTTTTATCATTTCCATTCTTTTTGAATGAAATATTGTTGCTCTCTCACCTATTATATGTCGCGATTTTCAGTAAATTATAATATGGAAAAAATCGATGATTAAAAAAAACCGTCCCGGCTTTTATCGCAAAAAATATGGTGACTTAATATTAGACCCAGTTTTGGTAATACAAGCGCAAGTGTAGTTTACATAGCTTCAATAATCAGTAGATAAATTAGTACATGTATCAGCAGTTATAACTGATCTATCTATATTTTTGATTGTAACAAAATCTATTGAATCTGGGTTTTTGTTACGTTCACTATTCCAATATTTCCACTTACCAGTAGATATCATGCCAAGGTTATTATGCTTAGTAATAATTGCATTACATAGCTGTCTTTCTTTCTGATTAATTAAACGTGACATAAACAGTACATACAAGGTACGTCCCAATAAATTTATATTTTTTATAAATTTATATTTAAGTACACGTATTTCTTGGAACTGACGAAGGTGGTATTGTTGTTGGCTACAATTGGACCATTGCCAAGCCAAAAAATGCAGTGCATCAAAAAGTATATAACTTGCTGTAACTAAGTAATTGGGACGCATTCTGTAACCTTAGTATGCAGGGACGACACTCTGCAAAATGGTTGCAGTGCTAATGCCAAGGCTGCCAAGAGAAGATTGAACCACCTCCGGAAAGAGTCGAAGCGGATAATGGCGGCCCCGGTTTTTCTGAAAATGGTCAGGGGAAATCTGGCATTACCTCCTGTTTAGGTGTGCTGTTAGCCGGTAGCCAAAGCGGATCTTCCTCCGCGCGTCTGCTCTGGACTTCGCGCTAGTTTCAATGGAAAGGGTACTTTTGAATTCCGATGATCATTCCTTCTCCGATCATAGATGTATCAAAACATTGGGTGCCAAGCGGTTTTGACGAAATCTTTCAAATAGTGCCAAGCACGTTTTTTGTTACATCCATTGTCCTCATAGTTATTTATCATAAAACCTTCAAAAATCGTAATAGTACCTTTGAAATTAGACCAACACTTTTGTGCAGATATCAGCGTACCCAGAAAACATAATCAACATTATCAAATTCATGTCACGTTCCCCAAAAAATCAGGACAAAGTTGAATCTCGAACAACCCCTGTCGCACGATTTCGTATAACGTGGCACCCCATGAGTTCTCGCCCTGCTAGTAAGCCTTATAAAAATTTTAGAAAAAAACTCTCTATTGCAGGAAGCTTCGATCTGCTCTTCGTGCACATGGCAAAGACTCGTCCATATCTAAGGGCGGGGTTGACGAGTACGTCGAATTTTTCAGCTCTATATGTGGGAAAGCTCTTGAAAAGTTTGAAGTGGAAGCGAACCTTAAGCACCTCACCCACCTCATTTTGACTTCTTTGCGACAAAACAATCATTGCGGAGTGGGGTAGTGCACAAGCATTAAGAAAGGTCAACAGGGACACCCCGCTGCTCTGGTTTTTAGTGGTAAATGGCCTATTGAAAGATCTCGAAGAACGCGGCTTTCGGGCGATAACCTACGCTATCAACGTTGCTCTTATGGTAAAAAAAAATTTTCAAACTACCGTTTACGAGCTAACCCAAGGTTACCTCTCTTAACCTTAACTGTCAATCCAAGTAAAACTTAAATGGTTTTATTTACCACTTCCTCTCCCCTCACTCAGAGGCTCGCGACTTCATCCTGCTGACAATGGGAAGTACCTGGTCCTTATCTTTGACAGAAAGGATACCTCCAAGGATGGGATTTTGGTTCTACAAAACCGTAGAACCCAATAATATTATATAGTGTATTTGTTTGGTGGAAGACGCTCGGAAAAGTGGGGCTCGCTAAGAAGCTTGATGGTGTCTAAAAAGCGGCACTCAAACTCATTCTTCACATAGCACACGTCGATATAGCCGGTGGGTGCATTACTGTGAAGCTTGCTGTAAGATTGAGGTAAGCTGGGTACAGGAAAGAGTCTATACGGGGACATTCTGACATTCTCTTTCGTAATTTTACTGCATCCCAGAAAACTAACATCACTGTGTCGCATAGCCAACTCCTGATAGCTTTATCTCTGCTGATATTCCGACAAGGGATATGTAGATGGGACCCAGCAGCCTTAGAAAAGGCATAGTGAGATTTTTCACGGATGGGCCGAAGCTTGGAAGGGAACTTTTCTGTAAAGAGCTTTCCGTCAAGCTTAGCTTTAGACTACCGGACCACTGTAGTGTTTTTCAGGTAGCAGTGGCTGCTACACGAACTCCTACGAAATGCCCACACTTTCTGGGAGGTGAGCATTCACTTCGCCAACAGAGCGGCAATACTAGCGTTGAGCTCGCTTACTGTGCACTCAAAATTAGCGGACTGCCTGTTCTCACTACAAATAGCATCAAACTATTTCATCATCAGTCTCGTTTAGGTGCCCGGTCATAGCGGAATCGGTGGTAACTACAAAGCTGGTGTCCTCATCTCCTTGTCCATTGTTACATCGGATTGAGAACGAGTTCAGGATCTCCTTGATCCTATGCGACCTCAATATCCTTTTGGTGCTAGTGCGGAACGCAGAAGATCCATATAACTACTCGCTCTCAGTAAGGTTCATCTTGCCGTAATCGTACGAGTGCTTACTGATCACAAATGTCGTCGAAATAACGAGCTTCAAAAGTCGGTTATCATGATGCAATAACGGTTGTTGTTGTTATTGTTGTAGCGGCAGAATTCTGCCGAGTTGACAGTCCTTGGCCGGAATAAATCCGGGTCCGTTCCGGTTACGTAGACCCGACTGTCGTGAGAACGGGTGCAATAACGGTCGCCATTGACGGTTACGTTCTCACCGGCATCATTTCTGCAGAAATATGGACCGATGATTCCACCGGCCCACCACACCAAACCGTTGTTTTTCTCTTCAGGTTGCTCTCCGTCTCAAGTGCGTCAACTTTGCTTGTTTACACACCCATTGAGCCAGAAATGGGCCTCATCGCTGAACAAAGTTTGGCTCGAAAACGTCTAATCTTCTTGGAACTTTTCAAGAGCCCATAGAGCGAAGCGATGTGGTTTGGGGAGGTCGAGCGGCTTCAGTTCTATCACAAGCTGTATGTTGTACGCTGTTGTATTCATTACAAGATGTCGACGTTAAATGCGCCAAGTCGTTCCATATGTCAGTCCGAGTTACTTCGAACGGACTCTCCATGGTCTTCTTGTACACTCTTAACTACGGCCGCAATATTTTTACCACTGCGTGCTAAAAGTGGTCTATCCGGTCGAATATGACCCAGTAATGAATGTTGGGTCTCAATATGGGTGATGGTGTTGCGAATAGTACGCTTAGTAGGTCGATTATATTGACTATAAGTAGAGCGAAGTGCAAATTTTCGTAATAAAGTTGAACAATTTATAAACGTTGTTCAGGCGCAAGTCTTTTCATGACGAAACGCCAAACAATACTGAGCAAAAATAACATGATAGTTTAAGACGACTCACGCGTGATCTGTCAAAACAAAGACTATAAAAAAGAGTACCTTTATTTGGATCACCCGTTAGTAGAGATACGCTGTCAATATCAGCCAAACTTTTACAATATGCTTGCATGTGACTCATTTTAAAATTTTGACAAAGTAACTGCAGGAAAACATTAGGAAACATTGTATTGGGTGAGTTAGCAACATCATTGACATGGCAAAAGATCGCGTAACCTCCTCTATCCGCCCATATACTCAGACCGCGACACTAAAGAAGTCGGCAGGGTGCCCTTTCCGAATCGGAACCTGAATTCCTTAGTAAGGTAACAAGATATAAGATGCTTTTCCAGATATAAACTTTTATTTTAAGGTCTAAGTGAATGGGTGTAAGTAACATTTTATGCTCCCGCGATTTGCAAAGATCAAAGGCAACTACTTTCAAGTGTTGACAAAACTGTATATTTAAAAATTTTACGAAATAATTCAACGTTGTTTTGCCATATACACTTGCCCGCATAAGACTGCGTACAGCACTAAAAATTCGTAAAACTAACTTTAAATGCAAATTTCTTAGACAATTTTATATGTATTCAACCAAGCTTGATATCAATTCATTATTGATAAATTTGAGTTAGTAAATAATATTGTAAATTTTATGATATATATATATACATTAGTTAACATTCAAAACAATATAAAATAGCAACCGCATAAGTTTGCGTACAGTAAGCTATAAATAAAGAAAAGTATTAAAAAAATCATATTATATTTACAGGAATCGACAAAAAAGATATCCCAATCCTCCTAAGACGTATGTGCATTAAATCCGCAAGTTTCGCTGTATCCTGCAGATATTAATTAATCGTATATTATTTTTTTAATACTGGCTAAATGAGCCTACGTTGTCCCGAAAACGTACACACCAACACACCTAACACAATCTACATCACACATCAGCTACATTCACCACATCACCTCTCGAAACATTCACCACCTCACCTCACGCACCATACACCTCACCCAACGACACTACCACCCACGATATCCAACACACCGGCCGATCACCCCACCAACCATCAACAAAACCAAAACACTGGAAGCGGCTGACCTCTTTTTGCGTATCAGATTCGAAGCAGACACCTCGTCAACGTGAAGATTTCCGCCTATTTTTTATACACATTTTATTAATCTACACTTGTATATATACATGTTTTTTATACACCTTTTGATTGTTCGGTTAAGTGGGTGCAAAATATACTATAATTTCATTTTTTATTGTTGCGACACGTTATTGAAGAGTGAGTGGTGAGCCAATAATTCCAAAAGGTTGGAATTAACTATGGTCCTTCGAGCCCTAGTGGACGGCACTATGGGTGTTTAAAAAAAAAAAAAATATATATATATATTGTATGTACATAAAGTAAAAAAAAAATAAAAACTGCGGTGAAGTGTATTAACCACATATATAACAAGTTATTTATACATATATGCACAGTGTTTTCGAAAAAATAAAATTTAAAAAAAATTAAAAATAAATATATATATATAATAATTAACGTATATTATATTATACATATAAATCAAAACAAAAAAAAACTCCCTTATGTGCATATTAACAACATAAAATAAAGAGTGGCTAAAAAGTGGTGTGACAAAACCAAAAAAAAAAACAGAGAGATAAAAGTTTGAAATACATATTAATTTACATACAAATAACAACAATAAACACAAAGCGGGCGCGAAAATAATCCCAAAGTCATGGCGGGCGCGATCCTAAAACCAAATTTAATCTTACAAGTTTATACAAACAACACATACGGGCCCGAATTCACAAAAAGAAATACACAAAGGCAATACCTAGCACACAAAATCAGAAACAACAGAGGACAAAGGAATCGGAAAGAAAACCAGAAGAACACATAGACGTACATACAAGTAACTAATTATACACTCGCAAATACATATATTCCCCAAAAGCCCTTGGAGGAAATCAAAGTGAGTCCATTCGATTCCTTTTCTTATAATATTTATGCACATACATATGTATATTCATTGCGAATTACAGATTATATTTTGTACAAAAAAACTGTAATAAAACATCAAAAAACCGTTCAATATCTTGGTAACGGGTGCCAATTTGGTCTAACTTACCGGTTTAAATTGCGGGTTCAAATAACGAAAACCGTTTATTGTAATATATATTTACATTCATACACATACATATATACGACAGATATGTATATAATATATAATAATTGACTACCTGCTTACCTTCGTGTATTTAAACACAATATACAAAAAAAAACCCAAATTAAAGTATTTCAATACTTACAAATTTTGATCGCAGGATTGCGAAATATATGTGAGCAAAGGAAAAGTCAAACTTAAAGCATAACAGGCAAAATAAATATACATACATATATACAATAAACGAAGTTAAACGAAAAAAAAAAATAAGAAAACAAAAAAAATATATATATATACGTACAAAAAGGAGTACTTACATTTACTTCTAACGTATATATAACAATTGCATATATAAAATTGTATACAGTGCATAATTACGTATACATACATATGCATTCTAAATATTAAATATTAAACATTAATATCGTATATAAGATATCGTATTTTACATACATATGTACATATATAAATAACAAACATTAATATCGTATATAACATATCGTATTTTACATACATATGTACATATATATCTTATACATCATTTATACATACAATTAAAACCTTACATACGTACATACAGTGCTTACGGAAAATTGCGCCATTGCCTGCTATTGCCAATTTCTCTCTCGCGCTCTTTTACGATTATACATAATTCGCTTTTTTTACATTACTTACAGTATACACTACGCTTATACTTATATACCCGATATACCTATGTACATAGGGTAAATACGGTTCGGTAAATAAAACGCGGATTATTTAATAAAAATCATACTATATTATATAAATAATACAAAATTTTGAACAATATACATACATATTGGTTCAAACTAAATTTATATTTATATTCAAAGTCCACTTTGGCATATATCCCGCAATACCCCTTGCAGCAAGCAAGCAGGATTGCGTACAAAACTTTTTAGCACAAATAATTCGTGCCTACTCATACATAGGTACAAAGTGCATTGATCTCTTCAACGAGCTCTCAATTGTACAAGTACATATATACATACCTACAAGTCCACGCATTAGGGTGTACCTACATACCCCTAAATAAGGACATCAAGAAAATATATATATATAAAATAAATAAAAAAATTTCAATAAATTGTTAAATAAAATTAAATTAAAAATATATACGAACCGCTATCTATAACAGCTAAATCCGGGTATTTCAGTTATTTATTTGAAATTTAGAACGCTAATCAACAAAAAAAAAATTTTTGCGCTTATACATACAAGTATATACGGAAATTAATATTAATTTGGTTCGAAACGAAAAACTCTATTCACTAACAATAGCTTTCGTTCACACATTTAAATATACGAAGATATAATTTCTGAATTATCCATAAGTCGACACTGAGGAATTTTTTATTTATTTCATACAATTTCTAAATGAGCTCAGACTCAAAAGATTTAAAAACAACACAGTCTCTAAAAGTACCAAAAATGATTTCGGACGAAAAAAGTCCATGCACACCAGCAGAAGCTACACGCTCCAAACAAGGTGCGACAAAACAAAAAAGTGGTAGAGACATTTCTTACACAAAATTCATTTCGGAAAGTGACAGTTTAATAAGATACTGCACTAGATTCTCATCTTCGCCGATTCAGAACAATTCTGAATCGGTATTAGAAATCAAAAAAGACAATATTGACAGTTTTTGGTCACGTCTCCAAGCTGAATCTGACGACTCAGATCTACCAGAAAATTTCAAATCTTCGGCTTACGCCAAATACGAAAACTGCTTAGACCAGTTCGAAGAAACTAAAGCAATGATTTCCGATCAACTTAAGCTAATAAAAGCAATTGCACCTACTCCACATCAGCGAATAGAGCTGTCACAAGTACAAAGTCAAGAGGCAAGTTCAGGCATCCATCTCAAGGTGCCCACATGTGGCACAGAAATATTTAATGGTGGTTATGAACAATGGCCGTCCTTCCCGGACATGTTTACAGCCGTTTACATGAACCACCCAAAATTATCAAACGCAGAAAAATTGTATCACCTCCGATACAAAACAAAAGGTCAAGCAGGCGTTATAGTAAAACAGTTCGCACTAAATGACGATAATTTCAATTTGGCTTCTGAAGCTCTTAAATCAAGATTCGAAAACGAAAGAATATTGGTCGATAAACAAATATCGATATTAATGAACTTGCCTAAAATTCAAAAGGAAACAAGTGAAGAATTTATCAAACTTCAATCAACTGTTTCAAATTGTTTGTCGGTTTTATCGACACAAAATATTCCCACAGACAGCTGGGATCCAATACTGGTAAACATATGCACTGCCGCATTACCAGAAAAATCATTACTTCTATGGGAGCAATCGCTCTCATCACGAAGAAAATGACCCACTATGTACAGGAGGGCATAAGCTCAAATCTTGCGAGAGATTCAAAACATTGAATATTATCGACCGAAACAATTTTGTAAAAACAAAAAGACTTTGTACAAATTGCCTATCACATGCACATACACTTAAAGAGTGCGAAAGCAAATTTAATTGCGTTTATTGTCATAAACGACATCATTCAATGCTGCATTACAGCACATTTTCCAGCTCATCTCCAAACAGCGCAAATATGAAAAGAGCCACGGGTTTAGTTGCAATAGCAAATCCCGAAGTGCGAAATCCAGAAAATTGCCAAGAAGCATCATGCTGCTCAAAGGCATTAAAAACCCAAACGCTACACAGCGAAAACCAAAGTAGAGTACTACTACCCACAGCAGTTGTCTCCATCGAACACCGAGGAGAACTGTTTAAACTTAGGGCCTTAATAGACCAAGGATCACAACAATCTTTCATAGCGTCTAGGGATCAAAATAGGCTACAACTGCCAACAAAACTAGCCAATTTTGAAATCACGGGAATGGGCGGAAAAGTAGTACAAAACTCAAATAAAATCTGCCCCATTACCCTAATTTCCCCCCAAGCGGATAAGCATATACAAGCAGAAGCTATAGTCTTACCGCAACTTACAAATATGCTTCCAAGCTATCACATAAATAGCAAGCATTGGCAAAAGGTTTCACACCTAAAGCTAGCAGATCCCAACTGCAACACTCCCGCTCAAATAGACCTTCTATTAGGCAGCGATCTTATACCACAGATAATACTCTAAGGTATTGAGAAAATTTAAAATGCACTATTGGCACAAAATACTATTTTCGGTTGGATCCTAAGTGGACTAGTTTCGGAACCAGTTACCACCATGACCACTGAAGTTGAGGAAATCTCAAACGAATACCTCAATTCACAATTAAAGAAATTTTGGGAGTTAGAAGAGCTCCCCACATATCAATCACAACCCCTGAAGATCAGTATTGTGAAGACTTTTACAAAGCCACAACTACCAGATCAGATAATGGTCGGTATGTCGTACGACTACCACTAAAACAACAATTTCCCAACACAATCGCCTTAGGTCATTCTCGCACCTCTGCAATACAGCAGTTTTTAAGTATGGAAAAAAACTTACTTAAAAAAGGTAAGCTTAAGCCAGAATACGATGGCGTGTTAGAAGAATACCTCCATTTAGACCACATGGAGGAAGTAAGCCCATGCGAAAAAATCATAAATGGCAAATATCACTCATTTTACTTGCCTCATCACGCAGTAGTAAAGCCAGACAAAAAAACAAGACGATCAAGATTTTCAGCGAATTATTTTCCGAAAATCTCCCAGTAGTCCACTCCGCGACTATAAATTGAAAACAGTTACCTTTGGCGTCAACTGTGCTCCATATTTAGCCATTCGAACACTGCACGAATTGGCAGAAAACACCAAGTCAGAATTTCCTCTGGCAACCCAGGTGTTAAAAACACAAACGTATGTAGACGATATCCTGTCTGGAAGTCACAGTCTTCCACAAGCATACGAGTCACTATCACAGGTGGTAAAAGCCCTCAAAACCGCAGGGTTTCCGTTGAAAAAGATAACGGCGAACCACCCTAATATTTTAAAAAATATACCACAAGAAAATTTGTTAGATACTAATTTCCCTAATTTCGAAAAGGAAAGTACAACAAAAAATCTGGGGATACAATGGAATGCAATATCTGACCAGTTTTCATACACTACAGAGTCAATATCTGCATTATCCGCCATAACTTTTCGACCCCGCAGGATGGCTTTCGCCAGTTAAATCCTAATACAAGAATTATGGCTA